TTGTTACGGCTTCTCCTTCCTCCGACTGATAAGGTTCGATGAACCGCTCACCGCCGGCTGCGACCCGCTGAAGTGCAATGCCAACACTTCACCAGCCATTCAATCTGTAGGAGCGGCGGGCGAAGGACRMGCCARGGTACACGTGGCAGCAGGTCGGCGTYGGCAGCCCGTGGGACGACGGCAGCATCTGGAGTAACGTCTTCGTGGAGGTTGCCAAGGAGAAAGGCGCCAGCTTGGATGGAGAACGTACCTGGTCGAATTGGTGGACCAGGTGCAGCTGCRAAAACGAGCTTGGAGATAGGGATAGCCCGAGAGGGAGGGAGGGARGGGGATAGGCGGAGAGGGAAGGGGGKGAGGGAGCAGAGGTTCGAAACCCGCTCCGATACCAATGTGACGGACGTGCAGGCAGCACGTGCGGAGATGGTGAGAGAGAGAGAGAGATGGACACACACGAGAAGCAGCARCTGAGTGAAGGTCCAGTCCGGCTCCACCAAAGAACGAACCACTGAATGAATCAACCTGCCGCCCTGGACCTAGGCCGAAGTGATATACCGGCCTGGGTCCAGTAGCGGAATAACCTGGTACCGGACCAGGGTCAGGCCGGCGGCCTGAAACTGGCCCGGCCTCACTACCGGGCCGGAGGGATACCGCTCCAAGAGTCGAGTTTAACTAGAATTGAGTCCCTACCCCACGTCGCCCAAAACCAATTTCTCGCCTTAATAGTGCCTGGAACCTTATGTCTGAAACAATCACTTCTGATTAGCAGACAAATATGCTGAGCAATCAAGCTTTTAACTTTACTATCCGACATCCCTTCCGATCTGAAGAGTTGATTATTACGATTATCCCAAATTAGCTTCATGACAACAGCTCGCAAGTTCTGCGCCACATACAGCCAGTCTTTTTCCTCTTTACATTCAGCTCTATGGATTCCTGAGATGATCCATTCATCAGACCAGCAAAAGACTCCCTTAGTAAAATTGTTCTAGTGCCTGATCCACCAGTCCCAAATTCTTCTCGAGGCCGGACAGGTGAGCCAGAGGTGCCTATTATTTTCCGAGGGCCATCTGCACCTGGCACACACTGTAGAAATCTTCATACCTTTCGAAGCCAGACTAGTGGCTGAGGCCGCCGCTAAATAAGCTTGTATCCAAACAATGCTTGCCAGTTTCTGGGACGACATGTTCTTAAACTGCTTCTACAGCAAGGAGCAAAAATGCAATTTTCGACATTTGCTCTTCGCCACACAGGCTGTCGAAGATTAGGCAGCTGTCAGAGAATGCTTCTCGACACCTCCTGTCGAAAGTTGTTGAATCCCCAGCCTGCGACTCGAATGCTTTCGACACTCCTCGCGAC